AAAAAGTGAAACAGAACACTTAATCAAGAAAGACCAGCCTGAGAAGTTTTTGTGAAAGGTTCAATAAACAGGAGTGTTTGGCCTGATATGAGAAGGGAGAGTGGGATTACGTGTTTACTTGTTGCTGAAGATCTGGAGATATTAGTCATGATGGAACTTTACACGTGCACATAACAGAAATATTTTTTGGTCTGGAATGGCTTGAAAGAAAAAAACAAAATGAATGAAGGTGAAAAGTTTTCCAATTATACCTATTACTAAAGTAACTTTTAAAATCATGAGTTAAAGCTAAAATACTGCTAAAGGAACAGATTTTTTTTTTTAATGTATCATAAAGAATAGAATCTGAACACTCTCTAATTATGGTTTTGGTCATGTATTTAAAGTATCATGCACAAAAACAAAGGGACAAAATTATGTAAGCTGCCAAAGATATGTTTGGAATCACAGAATCATAGACTGGGTCAGGTTGGAAGGAACTGCAGTGGGTCACCTGTTCAGCCTGGAAAACAGCAGACTGAGGGGAGACCTCACTGAAGTCTGTGACTTCCTCATGAGGGGAAGAGGAGGGGCAGACCCTGATCTCTTCTCTATGGTCACCAGTGACAGGACCCAAGGGAATGGCCTGAAGCTGTGTCAGGGAGGTTTAGGCTGGATATCAGGAAAAGTTTCTTAACTTAGAGGGTGGTTGGTTGGACATTGGAACAGGCTCCCCAGGAAAGTGGTCACAGCACCAAGCCTGACAGGGCTCAAGAAGCATTTGGGCATTTTCAGGGATGGTGCTGTGCAGGGACAGGAGTTGGACTCGATGATCTTTGTGGGTCCCTTACAACTAAGCTGATTCTGTGATTCTGTGATCTGGTCAAAGTTCCCACTCAAGCAGGGTCATCCTAGAGCATACTACACAGGATTCCACAGCTTCTCTGGGCACTCTGATCCAGTGCTCAGCCACCTGCACAGTAAAGAAGTTCTTCCTCATGTTCAGGAGGAGCTTCCTGTGCATCAGTTTCTGCCCATTGCCTCTTGTCCTATTGCTGGGCACCACCAAGAAGAGCCTGGTCCATCCTCTTGACACCCTCCCTTCAGGTACTGACAGACATTGGTCAGGTCTCCTCTCAGCCATCTCTTCTGGAGGCTGAACAGGCCCAGCTCCCTCAGCCTTTCCTCATAAGAGAGATGTTCCAGTCCCTTAATCATCTCTGTAGCCCTCCATTGGACCTGCTCCAGGTGCTCCACGTCTCTCTTGTCCTGAGGAGCCCAGAACTGGACACAGCACTCCAGATGTGCCTCTCCAGGGCTGAGCAGAAGGACAGGATCACCTCCTGTGCCCTGCTGGCAGTGCTCTTCCCAATGCACCCCAGGCCACCTTTGGCCTTTTGGCCAAGAGGACACACTGCTGGCTCATGAGCAGCTTGCTGTCCACCAGGACCCCCAGGTCCTTCTCCATGGAGCTGAGTCCCAGAAGATCAGCCCCCAGCTTGTAATGATTCATGGAATTGTTCCTACCCACGTGCAGGACCCTGCATTGGCCTTTGCTGAATTTCACAGTTCTTCTCTGCTCATCTCTCCAACCCACTGAGGTCCTTCTGAAGGACTGCACAGCTCTCTGGGGTACCAGACACTCCTCACAGATTTGTGTTGCTGAGGAGGCATCTGCCCCTTCATCCAAGTCAGTGACAAATAAGTTTTGGTAAATTAAAAAATACTGAGCCCGGTATTGAACCCTGGGGGACACCACTAGGGACAGGCCTCCAACTATACCCCATGCCACTCATTATTACCCTTTGGGATCTGCTGTTTAGCCAGTACTCAATAAACTGAAAAAGATTTTCAAAACAAGTTTTTAAATCTCTGAAACCACAGATATTATTTTAAATTGTTAATTAAAAAAGAACACAGAGCACATAGTCTAGTCCTAATTATGACCCTTCAGGAACCACCTTGCTCAAAATAAAGCCCATGAGGACTGACAGGAAACTGAGCTGCCATATATTAATACAATAATAAAATAAAAATGGAAAGTCCCTGTACGTATGTATAGAAATTACTGTTGTCTGATTAACTGTGTTTCAACAATAAAAACAGTTATTTTATATGCTGAAGGTAACTACTTATAAAACTGCTTATTGAACCTGCTCAACACACAGCAGAAGTACTTCACTTGTAGTTGTTACCTTTTACTAAGTATCCCCTTGATGGAATTCCCATGGCTCTGTAACTCATTTTTTCTCTTCCAGTACAGATTCCCACTGATTTGGTGCTGCAGACATCTATCCTCCCAACTCCCACTAACAGCTGGACAGCAGGCACCTCATAACTCATTAAATACTTTGTGCCAGAGGCACCATCCTCTCCAATGTCTTTCTTCTGGATCTGGTAAGGCATCCTGTAGCAAAGGAACACATACATGGATTTTCACTGAAGGAAAACCTCTCTTACCAGAACATGTGTCTCATGGGTGACTCTGTGTATCTCTAGGGTTTTGTTCCTAGACCTACTGCAGGGAACCTGAGATTCAACTGCTGTTCCTTACAGAGCTCTTAGTTTACTGAAATGTGCAGATTGCCTTTTACTGTAAAGTGTTTTTACTGCCAAAGCACTTTTGGAATTAGCCTAAGCCCACTGATGTGAACTGATCCAGTCTGTGTCAACGACATTTGGAATTAGGCAGTAGAGTTCTGTAGTGCTTCACAGTTTGTTTTTGACAACCAATGACTTTTCTTGCATTAAGCTAATTTGCTGAATCTTCTCTTTCCTATATTACATTTAAATGAAGTAAGACACATTCCAGCTATAAGATATCCTTTCCATCTAATATTCCCACTTAAAATGCAGTTTGGATTTAGTAATTAATCAGTGATATCCTGCAGAGTCTACAGACTATCATGAACACTGAGATTAGACAATCCTCATTTTTCCCCAAAGTCAGCTATGACAATCCAAGAAACTGAATTTACATAAACAATAAAAAGATTTTACTGTGCAAGTTCATTAATCCTGACAGTTTCATGGAAGAAGACACTTGAGATGAGTTAAGAAGCTTTAACAACTCTACATAAAGGCAAGTACACTGGCTGAAAAAGCAGCCAGCATTCTGGAAATGACTAATGAAGTATTACAGCAGAATTCTGCTAGTGGATGCTTCAGCTTATACTGTATAACTAAAGTGCAGCAACAGGATATCATAGATGCAGGAGTTATTCTTTGTGAATATGTGACAATATCTAGCTTCTGGGACCATCACACTATTATAAATCCTGTTCACTGAGTCCTGATAGTAGTTTATTTGGTGTTTTCTGACTTAAGAAGCAATAGATGCAGTCTGTAAAAGATAGCTAAGTAGAAAACCTGTTTTCTCACCTCAAATTGGCAGATGCTACAACAATCCTTCTAAAGGCATATATTAGCATTTCCACTGCAGTTACATGAGGTTGTATAACTCTTCCCACTAGCTGAAAAATATTTACTTAAAAAACACGTGCAAACAGTGTGGATAAACAGATGGCGGTGGTATCTATTTGATGACAGATTTCTGTCTAAATTATGAGGCAAAGCATATGAAGGATTTTCACTGAAAGGTTTTAAATGCATTTGACTATGGTTTCAGTCTCTTCTGCCTCATTTTGAGTTTGTTTATCAAAATGTTATTTTGGCCAAGTTGGAAAGAAATACAAAAACGTTTGCCAATGAGTAGAACTGAATAACTTCCTAATGCTAAGTTTCCATCTACACTAGGCTTAGCCTTATCATTCTGATAGGATAGCTTAAAGCTGAAGATTACCTGATAAGATTAATGGATCATAACAGATCAGCTATAACTTGGTTGCTGGAAAGATCACACATACTAAATTTCTGGTCCTCATAGAAGAAACAAGGACTTAATACATTTTTAAATGGGGAAAAGCTGAGACTGATGGAACACAATTATCATCTTGGCATTAACTCCATATAAGAGGCAAATTCATCATATTCAGCATTGAGAAGGGAACTAAGCTGGTTCTAAAAAACTGAAAGTCTCATTCTGACCTTAGCTCTGATTTCTCACAACAGCTTTAAAGGCAGCATCTGTATCTGTAAAATGAAGTTGATTTAAAAATATACTCAAAATGAAGTTGAAATCTAGGAATGATACTGCTATACATTGCTACCACATCTATCCTACAGAAACATCTTCCCTATTTTACTAGTAGAATTATACTCTATTTACTCTACAGTTTACTTTATGTTGCTCTTTTCTTAAAGATTAAACATTCGAAAAGTTTTAAATAGGAAGAAGCAGGAAGAATTCAAGCTCATTTGTGAACCAGAAATTTCTCTGTCTTGTGGACAGAGATCTGTGGAACAAGTTCTTACAGGAATCAAGGATAAGCCTATATGTTTTCTGAGGGACTATTCATGCATTTTACTAAACAAACTTTCAGAAGTGCTTAAATTCTCCAAAGGTGAGGGCAGTATAAGACAAGCTATCAGAGAAGCTGAACTGTTTAACTGCCACAGTGTTGTTTTAAAAAAGGTCTTTGTACGCCTAACAATGAGAAACATTACAGACCAGACCTAAAGCAATTACTAAAAAACTGCAATATCTAGAGTGATTTTTTAAACCAAGTATGAAGGCGCTTTTATCTACCATACCTGTGAAAAAATATCTGTATTTACTAAGTAAAGAACTCTGACTCAGACATGGTTTGAAGCAAATTTAAGAGCATTTATTAAGGAGACCATAAATTACAGTTTAATAAAAACCAACATTTTTTCCAGCATATCTAATTCTAAACGGTTCCAAATTTTTCCCTCATGTGAAAAATTAATACATATAGCAAGACAGAATTGAAACTATACACAAATTGGATTACTTTTTATGGGCAACTTGCTCAAAAATAAAACACTCATAAATTGACTATGACCTACTGTTTACTTAAGAAATAAATTTAGGGGAAAGTTATGGTCATACAAAGCATTTAATATTTTTTTTTTGTTAGAATAGTATTGATCAAAAATCTCATTTTAATAAAATCTGAAAAGTTAAAATCTATTTTTCAGTGTAAATATATTACTACCTCAAGATTTTATTCTGTACAAATTCAGTTGTTACTTATGGCAACATAATTGGCTGGAAAGATGCCAGTTTTTCCTCCTATGCTTCCTTCCCACCAATCAAACTGGGAATTTGTTTTAGTTGTCACTGTGATTCTGTCTCCAGCTTTGAAAGTCAAGTCACCTGGCTGTTGTCCTTCAAATGAATAAAGTGCTGTCACTTCTACTGGATCACTCCGAGAGTTATCTGAAATTAAAGAAATTAAACAAAAAGGAAATTACTAATGTCAGCACACACACTAAGTTCTTAAATTCTTAAATGACAGTAGAAAAGGGTGAAAAAACTACTAAAATAAACTATATAAGCATATAAACCACTGATGAAAAATCCCCTCCATTTCCACTAGAAACCTGGGTGAGTGAAATTTGAATTCCAGCCTATCAGCACAGTCTATTTAACAAAAAAATACTCTATGCAAAGTATAGATCAGGCATTTTTCTGTATGCCTCATATGGTCAGAGACAATGGGAACAAAAGTGGTATGTTGAAGAAAGTATGAATATTTCCTGAATGATTGCTATCAGAGCCATTGCTCAGGTTTGAGTTTTGGTTTGTGTTCTCTGTGAAAGCTTCTCCATGGAAACTGCAAAACTCAAAGGAGAAAATTTGATTTTTTAATCAAAAATTAGGATATAGGATGGCAAAAGTCAAAATATCCACAGCACTTCCCTTCTTGTTCCATAGGTTTTGCAGTGCCTGGGATTTTGGTGTATCTCAGATGTTAAACAGAACACACAAAATGTGCCAGTGAAAAGAACCGGTTATAGTTTGATGCACTGGAAGTAACTTGGTTTGTATAGTGGAATTTTTGACCACATATACAAATGGCTTTTATTCTCTTTACACTAGTCTCTTACATAACTTTTTCAGTCCTTGGCTGGGGTTGGAATCATGCCATTAGGCTTCTAAACTAGTTTTAAACCTATCAAAATCTTGGATACTATTATCCACTCTCCATTCCTGTAGAAAAATTTTAGCCAATATTTATTATTTAGCCAATGTTTATTACCACTGAACTTTTAATCTGAGTATCTTCAATTTTACAATAATTATATTTTCTCTCAACTCCTTTAACTGTCTGAGCTATAGGAGGTAGTTGCTCTAGATTAATGTCGATTTAGAAAACAGTTAAATCTCTCACATGAGTGAATCTAAAAGTGAAAAACTGAAGGTGCAATGGAAGATTAGTTAAGAGGAAATAATGTTTACACAAGTAGAGAGATTTCAGGATGTATTGCTCATATGGACAAGATGGCTGCATAAATGCTCAAGCATGCTAGATTAAAGGCTTTTAGAATTTGCTGCACCTTCTTGGTGTCAAAACTGTTGCGAAAGGGGAAACCCAACCTCTCACTAGTCTACACGTTGCAAGCAGAGAGATAGAAAGTGTGGTGAGAGAAACATTGATTCAACTTTTTAATGTTGTTTTTTGCAGTCTATCTTCAGCAATTGGTACCCACAGATTTTTTCTTCTGGTTGCTTTTATCATTTAAAAAGAAAGAGGAAAAATGTCTTTCCCTAAGGCTCACAAAGTATAGCCAAAGAAGAACAGTGGACCACAAATGTATGCATAAAGAGCACAGGGTTTTTTTCCCCAGCATCTGTCAATATATATGTTCATTCTACATGTTAATGCTTTCTCTTCATTGTCTGCATTTTTAGCAATCACCAAAGACTAATAGAAAAGTATTTGGCCAAGAGCTGGGCGAGATTTCATTGCAGAGAAGTCAAACGCCATCTTTCTTGATCGCACAATATCTCTCTCCTGATATCTATAGTCATGATCTAAAGTCATATACAACACATTTCTTTACTGTGAAAATAAAACCAAATTTATCAGGTCCATATCTCCATCAGTAATTCCTACAAAAAACACAGCATTACAGCTTCTCTAAATAGCTCTTTTACTGTCACATCCGAAACCCTGACAGACTGAATATTCAGCAATTACATTATTTTCCTCCAAGAATTCAAGCATTTGATGCAGTTGAGATAGTATGCATGCACAGTGTGGTTTGAAGCTAGATATTTTGATTGAGGAAATCATAGAAAAATCCACAGAAGTAAAACATCAACTTTTTACTCCTAGCACTAACTGAGGAATAGTCAGAAAATACTGTGGCCCAGAACTCTTTAGGTGCTATGGCATGAAAATGGTTATGACTCAGTTCCATACAAAAAGGAAGAAGGGGTGTGTTTTACCCTGTGCCATATTTAGGCAGCACACATGGGTAAAGTGCATTTATATGCTACAGTGAAGCCACAAAATTCCTATGCTTTGAGTTCTTAAACCTAGGTGTTTCCATTATGTAAATGAATAATCACTCAAAGAGAATTGGAGTTATGGTATATTTAAAACTTCCCCAAAAATACATGGAAAAAGTAGATATTTTACAGAGCAAAAAAAAGACTGAAAGTACTAAAAGTGAGGTGAGAGCTTCTTTTAATTATATTCAAAAAAGAGCTGTCAAGACTACTATAATATGCTGCATTCATAGCAATAGTAAGTAACTAACAGTTACCACCTCCATGGCTGAACCTGCATAAAGACTATAATTCCTCTTACACAAACTGCTGAGTATTCTGAAATTGGCTCTGTAAAAGTAGGAAAAAAAAATGAAAGGAAACATGACACAAATTAAAGCATGAAAGGGTGGAAAAAGGGATCCACATGAGATATCAAAGGGTAGGAGTGTATTCAATGCACCACTCCCATGCCTCCAAATATTGTTTGTTCTGTCATATGAAAAATATTGTTTTATGTGTTTCTCTTCCAATTTTTTGTCTCTATACATGTGCATCTTTCCAAACATAGAGAAAACTCAAAGCACTACAGCTGAATATGAACACTGAGTTCTGTGTCCTTGCCCATTTTCTACCTGCAACCATTTAAAAGCATTTTTCATCTTCATTTCTGTCAGTTCTTTCGAAGCCATTTCTACTTAATTTTCCCTAGCAGCCTTTTCCCATGCTAAAAATGTTTCATTTTATTTCTCATAAAGATTCTAATTTCTCTGCTTTAATTCTGTAGTTTTGTACCACAGTGCAGATAAAATGCATATTTTTTGCCTCCAGAGTTCAGCATCCCATGCTTCATATTTACATGGGTCATCCTAACAAACAGATATGTTAAATGAGTGCACCATTACAAAATCTACCACATAGATTATAAGGAGGATCTATTTTGTGTTCTCATTTCCCAATTTCAGTTTTACATAGAAGGGTATTAAATACAGTTGTTATATTCCACATGAAGATTGCTGAATGCATATACAGAAACGACAGTTGCAGCTCACACAAGATGGTGCTACAGTGCTACATACAGCATATGATATTAAAATCATTGAGATTCATGAGTATGCACACTGCAAGAAAAACAAACTACATTGTGGAAAATCCTTATTTGTTATTGCTATCTGAATACACACTTCCACAGTGGTCAAAACAGAAACATGGACATTTTGGTTGAAGACAAATTAGTACAGTAGCCAGCATATATTCAATGCTCCAGCATACACAGGTATGGCATGTGCTTGATGACAAACTTCCCTGACCACAATATCCTTCCATTTTATTTATCTTTACATACCACAATGATTTGAAGGTTTTGTGAAGGACCACTGCTACAGATAAGACTTGGTGGGGTATAAACTAGAGTGAATTTATGACCTCTTGGGTGTGCTACAATACAGCTCCAGAGTGAATGAAAGAGCAATAAAACTATTTTTAATTATAGCACATTTATCGGATAATAAAAGCATTTTCTATAAAGTTGCTGTAGAACATATACACTGTCTACACTTCTGTGACTCAGTTAAGAGTGCCAGTCTTTGACTACAGGTCCAGCTGGCACAAACTGGCCACATGCATACCAGTAAACACTGACCAGAGAGATGAGCCACATGCAAACTGCCTGGTTCCTATACTGGAGTAACAACTAAACCACATCTTGGAATTATATGGGAAAGTGCAAAGTGAGAATAATGCCATTATAAGAATAAGGCATTTTCTAACAATACAACCACATAAGTAAATGACTTACAATGCTTGGGCCCATGCCTTTGCACTGTTTAATTTACTAGTAGATATAGTAGCCACTAGTTTCACATTCTAATGAGAGCTTATAAAAGATTAGTAAAGCCATAGACTGTTTCTAAGACTGGTTTTTAGGGAAGAATAGGCATTTGTAATAATTTTGGCTTGAGCTTATGATACTTTCAAAACCCATGTCTAAGTTGGAACACAGAATAGTTGGAACACAGTTCAGCTGTGGGCCTCAAATTTAATTTTACTCGCATAGATGCATATATCCCCAGCCATCTAATTCCTGATGCTGAATATCTTGCAGAAGACATGCTGCTTTTTGCCATAGACACAGCAATAAAACCAAAGTAAGTTTCATGTACTTGAGGTTAGTGGTGAGATTGCTAAACATCCACTTTGGAAATTTTGCTAACTGTCAGTAATTTGAGAGCTAGCATGACTTTATGAGTTGTCTGTGCACTGATCTAATAGTTTGATACCAAACGGCAACTAAGTGCCACACACACCTCACTCTCTGCCCCCTCAGTGAGATGTGAAAGAGAACTGGAGAGCTAAAAGTAAAAAAACTCGTGGACTCATGGGTTGAGATAAGAACACTAAAATAATTTAAATAATTTTTTTAAAAAATTAAAATGTAATGAAAATAACAAGAAGAGAGAAAAATAAAACCCAAGAAAAGCACGTGATGCAAATAAACAGCAATTGCTCACCACCAATCAGATGATACTCAGCCTGTCCCAAGCAGTGGCCCCCCCAGGCAGCTTTCCCCCAGGTTTATATACTAAGCATGACTCTGTGGGATATCCCTTTACCCAGCTGGGGTCAGCTGTCCAAGCTGTAATAGAATTCTCATTGCTTAAATGGAAACTTAGCAAACTAAGCAACCACATGGACCCTGTTTGTGCAGAAGTAAGATAAAACCAACAAACAGACCAAATGATGGAAAACAACAAACAGATTAGGCAGATGCAAAAATCTGTGCTTTTGAAAACAAACATATCAAGTATCAAAAGGTTTAGTATACTCTTCAGAGGCATTGAAAGGATGAGGTATTGCTCATAGGTTTAGTATGAGAGATATAACTAACAGTGAACAGACAAATACTGGTTCTTTACCCATGATGGGCTTTTGCTTGGAAAGGG